ATATATATATATATATATATATACTATATACATATTACTATATAACTATAGATGTTTCTTTATTGCTATAAACAAAAATGTTTACATTTAAATTTGAAAAAATAATCCTTTGCTCTTTAAATGTAGCAATTATATTGCATTGTTTTTCTTTCAGGCCCATGTGTTTTGTAAAACAATTAGAAATTCCTCAATATGGTTACAGGAACAATGTATCAACAACAACACCTCGCTCCAACTTGGCCAAGGAACTAGAGAAATATTCAAAGACATCGTTTGAATACAACAGTTACGACAACCATGCATATGGGAAGAGGGCTATTGCACCGAAGGTACAGTCCAGGGATATCTCACCAAAGGGATACGATGGTAAGTCATCTCGTTACTCCATATTATTATTTATGCCTCTAGTTTCATAGTTTAAGAGTCAGTTGTCATCAGCAACCAGTCACTGGCGGTGCTTTGCCTATGTTGGAGAAAACAATTGGTGATCAGACAAGGTTTGCCCCCTGAGATAAACTGGTTAGTGGTGTCTGATGATGCCCATAGATAGATGGTCATTGGATTTGGCTGACAACTGCCAGGTCAGATGGCTATCATCTCCTGTCTAAGGGAGCCTTTAAACAATGTTGTATTTACATGAGCAAAGCTTGTAAGAATATAGCTTTGGTCTACTAATCTACTTTCCATCTTTTCAGTACACCAGTTTTACATATATATGTATCTAGATTGGTTGCTCCCATACTGTCTGGATACAAGGGATATATTGCAGGAAGAAAGTTGTACAATAATTCTTTTATTAAGGTTTGACATATGCTTTAATGTTTGTATGAAGGAAACTTTTGTTTGCATATTGCAAGATTTTTTTTTTTTGGGGGGGGGGGTTATTTAAAGGGAAAATGCTTTATCCATCTGTGTTATTACCATCCCTTAGCAGTACAGCAGATCTCTGAAATACAATATAAGATGACACAGAAGTTTATTTTGTCTGTATGAAACCACTGTAGATCACTCCTGTTGTCTTGAAATTATTGATTAATGCCCACTTCTCTCTACAGCTAAACGTTACTGTAAGAACTCGAGCCCAACAAGCAGCACAACAAGCAGTTATGCCCCCAGCAGCAGCAGTAGCAATATGAGCTGTGGTGGAGGCAGTAGCGCCAGCAGTACGTGTAGCAAAAGCAGCTTTGATTATTCCCATGACATGGAGGCTGCACATATGGCTGCAACCGCAATTCTGAATCTATCGACCCGCTGCAGGGAGATGCCACAGAACCTCTCTAACAAACCTCAAGATCTCTGCAACAGGGTAATTACATAAGAAAACAACTGCAGAGTAATAGTATGTTGTAAAACAGATAGCATTTTCATGTTTTAAAGTTAAAATGCACCTATCATTAAATAATAACTTACCACCTTTCTGCTTTTTCAGAAGTGGTGTGAATAATTGCAGTATTGCCATGCACATAGGCCATGCCCCCTAGCATATCAGTTAACCTAGGTCAATCCAGAATCTAGAGTGTTTGGTACAGGAAGATGCATTGTACAAAAAAGTATTGTATGTGCTCTTGCAATTGAACAGCCTATATGCCTCTCATAGCCAGCAAGCTTAGTTCTTGTATGCATGAGAATTTGCCATTAGGTAGGTATCTAGAAGATAAGTCATGCTTAATTAATTCTGCTGCAATAGAACAAAATGTGAGTGCAAGGAGTTATATCAGGCTATTATTTAGAGTGAGCCAGATTTGTCAAATTCAAATGACACAGTGGGCCAAAATGAGTGTAATAGATGCTCAAGTGGCTGCATTATGGTCACATACGGACTAGAAAACACCTGTTTGACATACTAGGTGTAAGTAAAATGAACATTACACTTAGGATTTAAACCCTAAACATACAGTCAAGTACCTTAACTTTTAAAAAAAATGTATCTTATTTGTGTATCACTCGGCTGTAGAACCTCAAATCATCTCTGAATTGGTGCTGACACTGTCCTTCCTTCTGGCGGGTGGCTGCTTTTGTTCCCCATAGTCCCTTTATGTGTTGTAAAGTAGCCACCTCTCCAAGCTCACTCCCGTGATGGACTACAATCTCAATACAAATGGGTAAACTAACCGTGACATTGTAGCCCATCACGGGAGTGAGCTTGGAGTGGCTACTTTACAATACACACAGGGACCATAGAGAACAAAAGTAGCCACCCTTGAGTAACTCTTGAGTTTAGTGTAATTCTAATGCTTGAGATTTTTTTTGTAAGGTTGGCTGTAGGTGCACTTTAGCTTGTATACACATCGTTCATGCATTCATTTATTTTAACAATCCAATTAGTTTTCTTGTTGTTTTATTTCCCTTGTATTACTTAACTGCTTCCTGCATAGACATCTGCATAGAAATCTGCCTTTTTGCTACATAGTAGACTGGGCCAGGCTTCATCTGCTATTGTAGGAAGACATGGTTTGTGGGATCACTACATCTATTAGAACATGTTTTGGGGTTTATGTATATTATTTGTCTTGCTATAAAAAAAACTGTGTCTGAAGATTGTGTATGTGTGTGATGAGTAGCAGCAAGTATTCTTTAGAATAAATACAAAAGTGGGCATCGCATTTCTATAAAAATATAAATGAAGATTAAAAACCCAAAAAAACAAAACAATGCTTGTCAATAGTGATTTAGTGGTACAAAGTGTTAGAATCTCTGAAGGGAATTTATCAAAACTGGAGCAGACAAAATCGGGTGCAGTTGTGCATGTCAACCAATCAGTATCTCTCTTCAGTTTGTTCAGTTAAGATTTGAAAATGAGAGAGGGGTGTTGATTGGTTGCCATGCACAGCTGCTCCAGATTTTGTCTGCTCCAGTTTTGATAAATTCTATATTTTCTTAAGTGATATGATTGGGATAGTTTGATTATTTAGTCAAGCCCAGATGTTCATCATTAGATGGACTTTGACACACCAGACCCATCTTGGAAATCATATTCATACTGAGCAATGCTTGCCAAAAGGGACAAAATCATTCTGTTTTAAAAGATTCTGAAATAAAACCAACATGAAATTATAACTGAACTTTTGGTTATGTTAATTACATACTACTGTTATTTAGACTGGAGTTCACACATTGATTCCGCTCCCTTCCTACTTCCTGCAGCCCGTTTCTGGTATCTGAGTAGTAAGTAGGTGGATTATATTTGCTATGGACACATGATCAGGCTATTCTTAAAGATGCCGAAGAGCAGTCAGTAAATAGCCGAATGCCGCTGAGCGGCATTCGGCTCGGCTGTTCTGCTCGGTCCCTCAGAGGGACCGAGCAGAACAGAAAAAGAGTGAAAAAAGTAAAAAAAAGTAAATAGAAAACGATTGTGCGGAGCTAGCAGTGACAGCTAGCTCCGCAAAGTGCAAGATTTTAGAATGACAGTCAATCATTATAGTGAATACACATTAATTAATATCAAAAGGCATATGTTTACATGAAATATTTACAGCACTTGCAGTTGAATACAGATCTAAAGGAGAACTGTGAATGCCATGTTTTAGTAAACATCAAGAGTTTGGAATGAATACCTTTACGACCATTTACCTCTGTGCAAACACAGAAAACTGTAGTAAGTTGATTAAAAATTAGAGTTGCCCCTATGCTTCTTACTGCTAGAGACAATGGGATTCCATAAAACATATGTTTATGTATTATATACATATACTGTAAAAAGGTCTCAGTGGTTATAGGCTAAAAATGAGTGCTAGTGTATTTAACCTTACTTTACCTTGAGATGTAGGGTGCAGAGTTACAGGTAGCAATGATCTGTCATGTTGGGTCTTTGCTTTATCCTGCAAGAAGCCAGATATTTGAGATAATGCTCCTGTAATGATAGGTCATCATCCACGAGCAGGGAATGCTTTATTAGAGCATTGAATGATTAATTGTACACTCCTACCCTACCTCCTCGCTACACACACACACTTCTTGCAATTGACCATAAATTTCAGCTTGGTGATTTGTTCCAATCAATGCTAAGTGATAGGTCAGGCCCATTACATTGATAACTTGCAGCTTACTGTAACGTGGAAGTGTAACCATTACTTCTAATTCAGCTTTATAAATACCTATTGATTATGGCAATAATTGGGTATATATACCCAAGAATTACACCTTAGGTTATAGAAGACAGTGAGAAGAATATCCATTGGTGTAAACGATGTAAAATTAATGGTAGGGCCACTGAACACAGTCTGTTGGTGAGGATGAAACCATACAGCATTACACCACTAGAAATACTGTACACCTTCATACTTATAGAATTATATTAGAAAGGACTAAGAAATGTCTGTGTGTCTTAGTACTCCTGTACTGAGAACGCCTGGCTTTCACCCTTATCCAATGGCTTCAGCACTTTTTAAGCCACTGACCTAGAACAGGTGCACAGAGAAGGAGGTCTGACTTCGCTGCTAAAATTGTGAATTGCATGATTGTTCCATGTTAGTGACTAAATAAAATCAAAGAGGTCACCAATGGCAGCCTCGATATTTTTTTTAGGATAGGTTTTCTTTAAGGTCCATTCAGACTATTTGTTGCATTTATGGAATACATTATTTTGTGTATGGAATACATGCGTTGCTCTGTGTACAATCTAGGCAAGCCTCAGTGTCAGGATGAATTAAGTACCATGCGCATGCATGGGCTTTATGTCATCTCAGGTGGACAATCAAGATGACTGAAGATGTAGAACCTGGAAGAAGTCCAAGTGAAAATGCCAGAGAGGGAGTTTGAGAATATGTTCTAACATGATACAAAATTAAAACTAACGAAGCAAGGGCCTCGCAAGTGCTGCAAGGGACATCCAAACGTTTTTCTGAGACATGAGTGAACCCTTGTTTAAACTTTGAACCAGAGCCCTGTAGCTTTTTGGTATGCTTCTGTTTTGATCCCTCCGAGTCTGAGGATGCCATGGGTGATCATTGCACAGAGAAGTCTTTGAGATGACCGTAAGTGAGGGTCACAGTCAGTAAAGCTCAAAGCAGATTCAGAAAAAAAATTATGTATCCAGGTCTGTATTTTTCTTTTAAGCATCACACATTACACCAGAAAACTGTATGGACAAGTGAGGCAATGAAAGTCTGAAGTTATTACTATAAAAACAGTATGTATATAGATATATAGATATACATATATATCTATATATCTATATATACAGTATATATATATATACACTGTATAAATATAGATCTATATATAGATCTATATATATTGAAATGGAAACCTAATGTTTGTATATTTTCCATTTTGTATAAATGTGTTTGAAGTGATTGGATGAAAGGTAGTGACATTTATGGGTGAGTTTGAGTTTGGGTGACTGGCCAGCTTGCTTCTACTTTATCTGTTACAAAGATGATTTAATGATGTTTAGCTTTTATGTGATTCATTAAATAGCCTTAAAAAGGGTGTGTCGGGTATTCTTAAGGGTTCCCTGTGTGAATGGTATTATATTGAGTTGGATAGTTCCTTGAAATCATGTGCATGCAGTAACCATGCAGTCATTCTCTTGTCTAAATCATTCTACCCAACTCAATGTTTGTGTGAACCATTTCTCTCCCATTCACTATCATCTAGTATCCTATTCCTGTCACCTATCACTGCCATACATATTCATATATACTATGCCTTAATGCACCATAATCCCTGAAATCATAAGAGCCAACATCATCCGATAAGCCAAACAAAATGTTTTAATCACCTCTTTATTAAAACAGTTATATAAGGTGTAAACTGACAGCTAACATTGTCATGAATCTGCTATCATTAACCACATACCACAGCAATATTGCCACCAAGGCAAATTCAATGACAACTCATATCTAAGCATCTGCCAGTGCAAGCATAGAATACCTGCAGACACAGTTCTATAAACAAACAAATCTATGCCAAACGTAAGGAATACTTTTTATTTGAACACAAGAAAAGGTAAAGTTAAAGTGTGAGTAGAGCCCCACCATTAACACAGTTGCTAATAAATAAAGATGTAAAAGTACATTAATAATACTAGTACCAACTTTGTTGGATCCAGTCTTTGCTCTTTGGCAGAGCCTTTTCAGTATTCAACATTCCCAAGAGTGTAGTATGACTCTATGTGTTGTGGTTCCAACCACCAGCTGCCACGTCACTAATGTGTCCCTGCAGCTCTGAAAGGACACGCTGGTGGTAAAGCAGCTGGTGCGTAGAATCAGAACATAGTGGAATAGGCATCCAACACATCTAGAGGTGCCCAATGCTGAAAATTCCCGTAAGGGGTGTCTGGCCACATGCTGGAAACTAATTTGTATTAAATTATTACACAACCAGGTGGTGGAGGACCTTTTCTGATCGTAAGAGCCAGTATGGTTTCATAGATGCTACCTTACTATGCTCCAATTGAAAATCTGTGTTTTGAGCACCTTTGATGGTAAATAATGATGCCATCATTATGCTGTGCTGGCCGCTCAAATGTACATACCTGTGCAGACAGGGATATCCCAGCAATATAAAATTTAATATTGCAGTAGATTCATTTAACCTCCCTCTATCATCTAATCATCTAATGTTCCTCTTCCTAAAATCACAGGGTGAGATTCTGTCATAATGCTACAAATACATTACAACTATAATAACTAGTGTTGAGAGGTCATCAGTTTCTAAACATTAATTCTAAAAAATAGGGAGTACAAGACCCTCACTATTCCTTTATATTTCAATTGGAAATGCAGAAACAGTGAAACAGTGAAAATAATTCCATTTTTATATTTCACATTATATGCCTGCATGAGAGAATCAAGCCTTACATAAGATAAGGCTGCTGTGTGTGGGCACATTATCACGTCTCATTGCGGGTAACTTACAGGAAGCGCATAATTCAATGCTAAAAAAAAAAAAGAAAATAAATAGTGAAAAGCTAATTTCACAATATCATCCATTCCTTTCAGAATCCTGACATTGATGTGGATGAAAATGGAACACTGGACCTTAGCCTGAACAAACAAAGACGAGATGGTTGCTGCTCCATTCTAACTCCACTGGAATCCATGTCGCCACAGCGGCAGGCAATGCTGAATAGCCAGTGTTACCAAATGAATGACAGTGACTGCTGGGACTTACCAGTAGACTACACTAAAATGAAACCCAGGCGGATAGATGAAGATGATTCCAAAGACATTAATGTATGTTCCACCCATATTAAGGAAACATAAAGTAATGATGTTTAAATACTAAATGAAAGAAGAGTGGCTACATTGTCAATAGCAATCCTCCTCAGCCAGGGTTCCGTTGAACCCCAGGGTTCCTTCTGAGGTTGCTAGGGGTTCCATGAGCAGTGAACAGGGGCAAATGTATCTTCCACCATCAATGCAATGTAGCAATTTTCCATTAACCACCAAAGTAAGGGGTAACTTCTACATGAACCATTAGTGTTAGGTGACGCCATCACTAGTTTTACTGAAAACAATTTTCACAATCTGCATTTTTTTTTCTATTGTTAATATAAATTTCAAGATTATTGCTGAAAATCACTTTGTTGTATACAGCAGGTGGGTGTTTACAATGATCTGCCTTGAGTGTCAAATACATTCAATACAAAACACAAAAATTCCCCAGCCTCAACCTGCCAGCCAGCCTGCAACCAAACAAGTAGCCCTGTCAACAGTATGCGTTAAAATCAGAGGTTTTAGTTGCACAAACTTTTGGCCAAAAATATGTAGAAGCCACACTGCCGCGCCAAGGCACCTCTGCAAAGTGTGGTCCTAACTCTATGTATCCGAGTCTCTAAGTGTGAGCATATTAATGAAGTTGATAAATTACATGCAGGTGTACCTGGAGGTAGCCAACTCCTCCTAATAAGGTGCAGGGACGCACTAGAGGCCCAGCAACCAAAAATGCACGCTGGGATTCCAATGCGTCCCCCAAACCAAAAATAGTCAAACTAGAAAAAATGGTACATGCATGAATCTATAACCAGCCTTTATAGCAGGGCGCACATTGGGAAGGCCACATCCAGTGCGTCCCTGCACCTTATTAGGAGGAGTTGGCTACATCCAGGTACACCTGCATGTAATTTATCAACTTCATTAATATGCTCACACTTGGAGACTCGGATACATAGAGTTAGGACCACACTTTGCAGAGGTGCCTTGGCGCGGCAGTGTGGCTTCTACATATTTTTGGCCAAAAGTTTGTGCAACTAAAACCTCTGATTTTAACGCATACTGTTGACAGGGCTACTTGTTTGGTTGCAGGCTGGCTGGCAGGTTGAGGCTGGGGAATTTTTGTGTTTTGTATTGTTGTAAGCCTTCCCAATGTGCGCCCTGCTATAAAGGCTGGTTATAGATTCATGCATGTACCATTTTTTCTAGTTCAAATACATTCAACACATTCACTTTCTTTATTGAAAACCTTCTACAGTTTACCGATCATGTTAGTGTACCATGAAGTATTTTCATTTTCAGCACCTGAAAATTATTTAAAGGGTTCCTACAGGGTCCAGAGGTTGAGAAAGGCTGGTCTATAGCAGCCAATCATATGAAAATGTAATTTAAAAAGAAAGTGGAAAAATATTAGCTGGTAGATTATTATGGACAACATGGGTTTCTTTTTCTGCAGTCTTTATAAAAATGCCCCATTCTTACATTTGAAATTAGGTTTTATTTTAGGTACATAAATATCCATAATTGCCATGTTTTATTGCAAATGTTAGTTTCATCATCATTCCCATGGTCATTACACATTTTTTTAGAAGTAATTTCTTTATTTTTGGATGGGGTGGGGAGCTTGTGCGGTAACAAAGATTTTTTTGTATGTGGTCACATGGAGAAATACTGCTGCTCATTTCTCATTGGTTTTCTGGAAATGGGGACCAGCGATATCATAATTCAGTTGCCTTTCTGAACTCAGAAGTAACCCCTGGCAATCTGTCAATTTTGATGTTTGCTAGAAGTGATGGTGTGTTTGAGAGTGTTGGTGATGGTGTAGGTGTTTGACAGCCCATAAGCCTTACGCAGTCCTGTGTTAGTCTATGCAGATTCACATAAGTCTAGATACATTCATTCTATTATGACTAAATTGATGACTCACCATTGTTCTCACTTGACAATGAAGTGGAACATGAATAGATCTTTGTACAGGGAGCACCTTCCCTTACCTACATGATAAGGCCAGCGTCCACACTGACACGGCTTTTTAAGCTTCAATTTAGGAATTTCGTTTTTTTTTCTTGTTTTTACTAATCTCTTCTGACAGTAAAGCATGGCAAAAAGAGGGCAATATTAGCAAAATTTCAGCAAATGTGAAATCAGCAATTTCACGTATGAAATTCAAAAATCGAATGCGCTGAAACTTCCCACACTTCTACACATAGTCCAAAATAGAGCAGGGGTCATCAGAAGCTGGTACAAGTAAAGAGACACTGCAAGGTGTATGAATTAATACATCAACTTTATATAAATTATGTACAAAATTGCTGCATTCACTTTTTGTCAGTGTAAACTCCTATTTGTCTCACCCACCAATTAGGGTCAAACTTTCAGGATCAGCTCTCGGAATGGAAGGGTCTGGTTGGTATTTGGGCATTAGAAACATTTTATATTTAGGACACTTCAGGAAAATCATGAGCATATCCTTTCACCCCTTTGTGACCACATGCATATCCTTCGTGAATGAAATTAATGTTCTAATACTTGGGGTGACTCTGACACCACAGAAGCATTTTTTACACTTCTCAACTCAAATGTACTGTCAAAGTGGGGATTTCCTTCAACTATGGAGAGATTTTCTGTCACTTCCTGTTCCATCTCCAGGACAGGAAGCGAGTGGAAATCTACTCAATGGGACATAGACAGCAAAAAGAGTTTTAATGTGACTCTGTTACATAAATAAAACTTCTAATACAAGCTACCACCAAGAAGAAAGTGTATGCTAATCTCCCCTGCTGCCCACACCACCAAACTCTGCTCTAATATGGAGAAATTGCCACCTAAAACCAGTTCAGCAGCTGACTCTTTAGGAGTGTCAATATTCTGCAGTGATCCCCCACTGCACTCAGTAGTTCCTCCTGCCAACTCCTAATGTGCACTGTAATGATGTGGGGGTCAGCAGAAGGAACCACTAAGTACAGCTGAGGACCAGGAGAGGACTCCTAGAAGTGTTGTTTCTAAACAAACTTTGCGAGATCATTCCTCTTCATTAGAGCAACATTTGGTTGGTAGTATGGGCAGCGGGGGAGGTAAGTAAATATTTTCTTCTTTGTAGGAGCATCTTTTATTAGAATATATATTTATATTTATTTACCCACAGACTCAGGCATAAAATTAGTAAGCAAACTGCCTCTCATTTAGCTAAAGATGTCTGATAGTTTTATGTGTATTTTTGACCCCTGCATCTGCAATACTGGGCATCCACCCATGATAGGTCAGAGTTCAGAGAGAGATTAAGCACAATAATGGGTTATGTTCAGCTTATTATGATATATTTTAAGTTTTACAAGTTAATGAACTTATCTTTTATATTATGTTTCCATTATTGCAAATATTTTTTTATTTTACAAACTTATATGTAGTATAGGGTGTTTCCTGAAAAACAAATATAGAGCATTTCTACTACAAAAGCCCAGCACTAGCTCTGCCCTTGTTAAAAGCATCTTTCTAACTGAAAATCCATATTTGGGCCCTATAAGCAGACAGCAAGAGGAGGCATGTCCCTCATTTGACTTGTTTAGCTGTATGTATGTTCTGAGCAGAGCTGAATAGCTGTAGATCAAATTATACCAGCTTATTCAGGATCCCAATAGCATACTACAAAAAAACTCCAGTCAGTAGACTCTAGAGCGCCACTTGCTAACTGCAAGTGGTAAGTATGAAATATCCAAAAATATGTGCCACATTCACATTAACCTGAAGACAATGGGTGGAATTTATCATAGCAATTGCGAGTGTTTGAACTTGCACAGAATATATTTGATGCACTTTGCGCCAGATTTATGATACTAGTGTAATGTTGTTCATAAATTAGGTTTAATAGAATCCAGGAAAGAAGACTTGTAACTCCAGGCAAAAAAGCTTTTCTGTTGCTTCTTGAAGAAGTGGTCATGGGGGCTTCTTAAGTTGTGATTGTTTTGTTAGGTGATGCTCCAGTTTCAGACAGCCACAGAACAAGTGCAGATGAAAACACGTGCAAAAAACGTGCAATTGGAAAGGTGGTGAAAGCTCGGTTCAAAAAAGGCGCACATGTGAAAAAACAGATTTGCACATAAAAAAATGATCTAAAAGGCTCAAACTGTCGCAATTGCTTTGATAAATTTCCCTCAATGTATACTAAAGCATTATACATTATACATTCCTTATAAACACATGCAATGGGTCAGGGGCCCATTTTTTAAGAACACAACGCTATTTATGAGCACAGGAGGCACAAGAGGGGAATTGTGTGAATAAAGCCGCAATCTTATAGTAAATCTGCCTAATAATGTGTCTTATTGCTCCTGGTTTTGTCTTACTGTGCGATAAAATTGATTTATCTTCCCCTAAAATTCTACCTTCAGACTGCTTATCGCTAAAACAGTCAGCATGATACACAGTATAAAAAGCAATGGGCTAAATTCACAAAGCTAGAACTTTACCATAACAATTATTATTTTCAGTGATGAGAGCCAATGAAAGCTGAAAACAACAACTGTTATGGCAGACAACAGTTGCCATAGCTTACTGAATTAAGCTTAATGGATGGCGTCATCTGTATCATTTCTTAAGTACAAGGCTATAATAAAATTCTAGTAATGAGAGTCTATTTGTGCTGCACCACAACCTCAAATAGACACTGATAATATAACACACACTCCTTAATCCAGACCCATAAAATATACCACCATGAGCTAAAAAAAAAAAGTGTTTTTTTTAGGAAATGATGTGCCTTTCTAAAGACCCGCTTTTTTCCAGTTTATAGTAGTATAATAACATTTTCCCATCACAAAACAAGTATGCAGTTTTAAATTTAGCCAGCTAATCAACATTTAGTTGTGCTGGCATTGCAGTTAATCAACTCACAGTCCAAAAGTGGACGTGAATAGGAAAAGTCCATAAACCTGCCCAAAGCAGCAACTTATTTTCTACTAGTGAATCGGAAAGGAGACGGTCTGTGTACATTTCACATGGGACAGAAAAATGCTGCAACACACATAAATGTGGAACCAGCAACCAAACTTGACAATTTACACCTACATAAAGCTAAAGTTCTATAAGGGCCTTGTCACCCCACCAGGTTAACTGATTGTAGGGGTAGCCACAGTCTCAACATGATTTCCTAAGTATGAAGGTATTTTCATACCTTAAAAATACAGATAAACCATACACCAGACTTAAAGAAATGCCATCTTCAGATATATTAATTCCTTAAAGCTGGGCTCCAGAACAAAACAACTAAAGACACAGATGTAATTAATATAAGGAGCTATTTTACCTTCCAAAGGATTTGTATTTTTGTTTATTCAGTCCTGCAATTTACACAGCTTTGCCATGTCATGTCTGACAGGAGACCTAATTTTCTCAGTGAAGTAAGACTTAAAGGTCTTGTCTCTTCTCCAACCTGCAGCTAGACAGTGAAAGGACTAGCCACAGACTAGTGAGCTAATCTCTCTGTCTCTCCTCTCCTATCAGCAAACTCCTTGTTAGTACATAAACACTACAACCCAGTTGTTTTCACTCTTCCCAATTTGATTTCTCCTGTACAATGACTGCAAACAGCTGAGAAAAATCATATTCTAATACTTAAAGTAGCTGCATAAAAAAAAAAAAAGAAATTAAATATATTATTGAATACAGACAGTATCAGTCATTGTCTTATTTTTTCAGATTTAGGGTGTCCAGGACTACAGAAAACTAGTTCAATTCCCCTCTACAATGTAGCAGTACATATCTCTGTGTATAAAGGCATGGTTGACTTAAACTAACTTCATTTGGAAAATCACATCTTGAAAATATAGACCTGAGCTTCACAGTTATTGTGTAAGATATTTAATTTAATATTTTTAGTCTTTTTGGATATTTCAATTAACAGTCCACAACAACTAAGAGTCCTTATTTTCTGAAATCCACGATAGCCATAGTTAACAAAGTCTATTTTGTATTGATCAGTTTACTTTTTTAACAAACTTTTATTTATGACATTTTCCACCATGTGTTGTGTTTTTAGGGTGCTGTTTGTTACAGTAAATTCATAATAATAATGTTATCAAATAGCCAATCATATGTGCTATATATTTAGGTTAATGAAAGGGAAGAGGGTGCATTATATTAATGCAGTACAGCATTTTGGTAAATACTCTGCTAACTTGTGATTCCAAACCTACCAAAGACATATTGTAAGATATTTACTACAAAAGATCCAATTTAATATATTTGTGTATTTATGTGTTTATTTTTTAGCATGATGATTTGGATCCATTCCATGAAGCTATGGACGATAGAAGGTACCCTGGTGAAGTCACAATTCCAAGCCCTAAACCCAAATATCCTCAGTGTAAAGAGAGCAAGAAGGACTTAATAACGTAAGCACTCTATATCTCTGAAACTTTCCTTGAGTTTGAATTTTCAGAAGACTAAAGAAGATCTAAATCTTGAAGCAGCTACATCCAAGTGTCTCATAAACATTTGGCTCTTTTTTTGGGGGGTGCTTACTTCCTCCAGCTTTTTCAGCCACTCTAGCGTTTTCATCCCAAAATCTTTCTACTTGACTGGCTTTCTGATAGCGGCAAGACTGGACCATGCCTGTGCAACTCATATTAGCATGGCCAATTGTAGTTTCCACCAGGGGTGCATGTGACAGGGGCATTGTTTGGAGACAGTTGTTGTCCTAAAACAACAAGTGGCTGAACAAGAACCAGGATCACATCAAGGTATTTTGTAAATGAAAGTTGCAATTTTAAAAAGAATATGAACAACTTTTGAATGACTTGCCAAAGCATTTATGGGATTTTGGTAAATTAATATAGATCTACTTCAAACATTGTGATGTTTGGGTGGAAAACTTACAGGTGGAACATTCGTAGCCTGAGCTTGTTTAAATATTTTTTTTAGCATTCAATTACTATTATTACTTTTTGAGTTGCAAGCTTGTAGAGCTTCATTTTAAAAAATTCTTTACCTACTTCTAAACATATATTTTTTTGCAGATTGTCTGGTTGCCCATTGGCTGATAAAAGTATTCGTAGCATGATGGCCACCAGTTCACAAGAGCTCAAGTAAGGATCTGTGTTGTCTTTTTCTCTTGATATGCTATTCCCATCCAACCTGGCTCCCAGCTTTAAAAAATCTCACATTAATGCTGCAAAATAGGGAATAAATCTGGTCTCATTCACCTTGCAAGAGAAAAGTCAACTATTGTACTTCTGCTGTCATGAGTGCCATCTGCAGTATGAAAATTAGCTGATTTGTGGAGCCAGTAGCTTTTATTTAAATGTATACATGATCAGCCTCCAAAATTAGATGCTAGGGTATTTATTAAAAACTGAGTAAATGCCTGATAGAGCTACACGTGGACTTTTCTCAGGTGCTCAACAAACTAAGAAAGCATCATCCTATATGAACCCAAAGTTTCACCCAACATCGATGGGCTATACTGTAGCTTTGATGCACAAATGGGTAAGGTGTGTTGCAAAACTGGACAGGCACTTGTGTTCATACAATCAAAATTACAGTCAATATGTCCATATACTCTACTTATTAATCAAACAAATAAGGAAAGATACAAAGGGGGTGATTTACTAACCTAAACACACGCACGCACTAGGTGCGTGTGATTTTCACACAGCAAAACGTATTTATCAACCAAAAAGTCTTTAAAAGCATATTTCCACTAATGCCATATATGGAAAAATCATGCACATGATGAATATATAATGCTGCTTCACAGTTTAGACAAAAATGGTTAGCTCATGCATTTACATTCCTGCATTCATCAACGCAAGCAACACAACGTAGAGCTAATTTACACAACATCACCTTGTAATTCATGCAGGGCTTTGCACAACACACCTGCTGGGTGTGTACACATTACAAAGGTGTTTAGATTCCACTCATAGATCATGCTGGGAGGGAACACACTACAGAGGTGTATACATGTTCATGGTGTGTTTATAAGGTTAGTAAATCAACCCCAAAGACTCAATAAGGCAGCAGTAAAAACCATACAAAACTTACTTTCATTGAGCCCCCAGGGCATGTAGGTGCTCATTTCATAAAGGCAATAGTTTTTTTTCATTAGTGTAATAGCTTAGTACTCACTAAAGCCATCGGTGCCACTCTAAGGTCTTGCCACTGTAAACACACCAGCCACAGGTGCTCCTTTTCTCTAGGATCCTTTTCCGCCGATAGAAGTCAGTGTATGAATGACACCACACACCACTGTTCCGGAAAGTTAAAATCAACGTTATTATCCAGCACGTTTGAGAACACTCCACAGTAGCACATTTTGAAGTCACATTTCACCCCATAAGGGGGGTAAAACATGTCAGAGGGGCTGCTGGTGTGGTCTGGTCTGATGTGCTGTAACAATAAAGTTGATTTTAGCTTTCTGGAACAGCGGTATGTGATATAATAGCTTAGATCAGCGGTTCTCAACCTGTGGGTCGCGACCCCGTTGGGGGTTGAATGACGATTTGCCAGGGGTCGCCTGGGAGTCTCCCACTATTCGATAGCAGCTCCCGGATCGATCTCAGCCCTCTCCTAGCTCAGCAGTGTGCAGCATTCTTTTTAAATGTGGCCAATATGAGATATTGCAGGGCTCAAAATTTCCACTCGCCTGTTGCATTTGTCGAGTAAAATTAAAGTGAGGGCGAGTGGAAATTTGGGTCTCCAAGTACCGGTCATGTCAGGCTCCCGATCACAGACCGCGTACCTGACTTGCGGGAGCAGCTCCATGGTCTGCATATGTGCCGGATGCAGACCGCAGAGCAGCTACTGTCAGCTCTGGCTTCCTTCGGCTGGAGCTCTGGCAGTTCTGAGCTCCGGCCGAAAGAAAGGATGTATGTGAGGAGGATCGATCCCTGGTTATCTGGGGGTGATTAACGAGGTCTGCTGCATCACCCCCAGATAACCAGGGATCGATCCTGCTCACAGCCTCCTCCCTGCAAAGATGTGAACAGGTGAGGGGGTGGGTTGTATTATTATTTTATGTGTGGGAGGGGTTAATAAGGGGGATGTATTATTTTATGTGTGGGGGGTTAATAAGGGGGAGCGTATTATTTTATGTGGGGGGGGAGGGGAATTTTATTATTATATTTGTGCGGGGGGGCGGGGGAGTAACGTTGAGAAGTGTATTATTCTGTTTTAAGCTACCCATACACCTTACAACCATCGCACAACTTTTGTTATTCAATGGTTGTAAGGTCATTACAATTTTGTACGATCTGCCCATCTTGGACAGGCAGATCGTACTTGCGATCATCGCAAGCCCTCCCCGCTGAGGGGAGGGCTTCCCAGGATTGCAGTGCTGAGCGGGCAGTGTGCGCTTGTGCACATTGGCCCGTGTGGCATTCATCTTCCGACCACGCCACCAACCTGCCCAAAATTGTACGATTTTCGGCAGGTTTTCCAGCGTGCTTACAGTAGAAACGGTTGCACGCTGCCCATACACCTGCCGATTATCGTACAATAATCGGCAGGTGTATGGACACCTTTAGTGTATGTGTATATTAGGCCCCATTCACACCTACACTATATTCCAGGTGTGGTTAGAGATTCATGTGTCAGGAATCCTGCAGCAGGAATCCCTAATCTAGCCGTTTACAAGCGGCAACTGTCATAAGATAAGAATTATCAAAAGATTATTTAAGAGGGAGTGTTTAGGAGCGAGTTAAGGCCGGGGCAGGGTAAGGGTTAGGTGGGGCAACTGGTGGCTAGTAACTCTTGAGGCCTGGCTAGTAGCTCGGGACTTGAAATTTTGAACCCTGAGATATTGTATATTATTATTTTGTACAAAAAAATCTTGGTGACTTCAAGAGCCCGACATACCTTTTGAATGGTCTCCTGAGTGCAACTATACTACATATACCAATATTGATCAAAGCACAATACCTGCTCTGTGGACTACTACGGATCGCATTCAAACTTAAATTAAGGATATAACAGAGAAAATGTTACCCTAAAAGGGTAAAAATTAAAAGGGCACTTTAAGGCACTTTAAGGCATCTAAAAATAGTTTAAAAACATAACCCTTGGTTTCTATATCCACATACTGTATATTGCACAAGCTATTTCCTTCAAGAGTCAGAGATCAAGTTCCTCTCCACCTCTCTGTCTACATAAGAATCATGTAAATCATGAATCATGAGATGTAAAAATGTAGTTGAAAAGCCTATGGCCATATAAAAAAATTGTTGCGTGACATTTCTGGAGATATTCTTCAATCACCTTGCTAAAGTCACAGTTTAAGTTTGCACACAATGGAACCCTGTAACCTAAATTGGGATGTGTTACATTGAAATGAGCCCAGAACCCCAGTAATGCATGGCTGCCCCGCCAACTACTACAATGCCATATTCTTGCTTTTCCTATATGTTGGACTGAGTTGTCTGAGATTTGAATGTGTAGCGGTAATGGCACTTGAAGCAATAGTGTGAAATTGAATCTTTGCAATATCCAGGGCATCATAAAGCTTTGTGCTTGCTCTTGGCCGCTTCACTCTTCATTTCCATCCGTTTTACAACTCTCTATAAAACTCGGCCATTTTTCCATCTGGATTTTACTTTTCTTTAAAGCAACGAGTTTAATGCCCCTTATATCAGGTAAATAAAATGTGACCGTGTCGTGCATAAGGCCTACCATGGCATAACACCTTATCGAGTATATTTTATCCTGCAATAAAAGTAATTTGCTGAGCACTGTTGTGAAAATGACCATTATTTATAAGGAAAACATATCCCATAATATACAGGACATTCGGATTCATCTCATTATGTTTTATGTTACCCTGTGGTCACATGATTTTTGTTGTTTTTTGATAAACTAATCTGCAGCGCATAGTTCATTATTTAAATCCACAGAATACAGATACAGAATACACTGCATTTTGTACAATGACTTTGTGATATTTGAACCAGCGTGGAGAAGCAGCGGAGGTTTAACTATTATAAAAGGTTAGATGCAAGAGAGCAACACATGCTTGCAGTTTTAGAGATTTTTGTATCATAACATTTCAAAATGTATAAAAGTAAAAGCCCTGCTAAAGAGAAGGAACACTTAATTACTTTAGTTTGCAAACAAACGCCTTTTCTGGGGGGTACTCTCTGATTTATTTAAACTTTTTACAGGGTCCTACCCACTACCAACCTCCCACACTTTCCTTTTCCATCCAGTGAGAGCACTTTATCTGTCATTTAAAATGCTTTTATTGGACAGCAGAAGACTGGTGTGTAGGGTTCAGACGAAAGATCAGGCAAGTAAAATAACTAATAAATAAATATAAAAAAAAAAAATATATATATATATATTTAATTGTTCATTAGCATTTATATAGTTTGAGGTGCATTTGTCCCAAATCATTCAGTGTGGCAACAGGGCAAGCAAAACAATTGCAGAGTATGCCAAAAATTGACAGACCACATCAAGAAATTTTTTGATCTGGTGATTGGGAAGGTCATTGAAGGTATTTGACTTTATCCTGGTGTTCATGAACCACTATAGGGTTTGTTTAGTATGGGGGCTGGAATAAAATTAGCAACGAAAGTTGGACCCTTAACTGGATACTTGATAAAATTCTACAAAAGTGCATCTGAAAACCTGACTGCAAAGGAATATAATGGACTTATGATTCATTGTTCACCCTATTTCTTACATGCAGACAAGTTTACATTTGGAGAAAGCCAAAAGATGCCTTTAACCATTTGTTATCATATGTTAAGGAACGCCTAGTGGTAAGAATCACCTGGCGAGTGAGTGTTTATAGCCAGCTACTGCTCTGCATAGTCATGTAAGTTACAGGATCAGATGTAGTCTTTGGTGCAAACACTATTCTCTCACCATATTCCAGCCTCCATACTAAACAAAACCAATAGTGGTTCATGAACACCAGGATAAAGTCAAATACCTTCCATGACCTTCCCAATCACGAGATCAAAAAATTAGGCAACATTTCACTGCACAGAGCATTCCAAAAATCAGTGTAGTTGTTGGTAAGTTGAAGACTGGTCTGACTCCTCATTAGGTCCTTGATATTAATATATTGTTAGGTGTTTCCATCACT